TAGTGGACACATCTGATTTCAAATAGATATTACATTTTTATTTACTAAACAGTATATATTACATCTATCGTTCTGTGCATTCGAGAAAAGATAGGCCGATAACGTAATACACTGTGCTTCATAAAGTTATATCTAACCATTTCAACTTTAAAAATGATGAGACCTTGCTGTTAATCTAGTACTGCGCATAAATGATTTTGCGTAGATGATTTATTTAAAGAATTTCTTACTGACATTCTTGATGTAGTCCGGGCTCTGTCCGGAAAGTATCCGACCATTTATTAATAACGAGTGAAATGTCTTGCAGATCCAATGGCTGCTTAATCGTTTTCAATGTATTCTTCTTTGGAACTCACACACTTCCTTTCCCTTTCAGTTTTTCAAAACAGCCTTCAAAATCCCCTCCCACCTTTTTTCTTTTTGTTTCTGGAATCGTTCTCAGCTGCCTCTTCATATCATCTTTAATCGCGTCTAGAGTCGGAAATCTGTCCTTCCTTCTCGCCACCCCCCCAAACAACGATAGACAGAAATCGCAGAAAGATAAATCTGAACTTAAACGAACGACTTGCACACCTTGATGACGTGACGATTTGTCGAGAAACTTTGCATAAGAATTGTAAATGCGACGGTCACACAGTATGCGAGCTCATTCAGTGGCATCTCACTGTCAACTCGTTGTGATTTTGCACATTTACAGTTCTTCAATTCTTGTCACAGTGCCTTTTCGCGTCACTTCAGATTGGTTGTCAATTTACTTAAAAGCTGTGCAGCGCGTTCAAAATAGAAGCTGAAGACACTCTTGATAGAACCCGTATGTTTGTGTGCGGTTGGATTTCGCGTGCACAAAGTAACACTTATAATTGTAGCTGTACGCCAAATAGCTTCTCACAACAGATCCAAAGCAGATATTGAGGCTGACTTCAAGGGAAATGAATCAGTTCTGAACAATCATATTAAACGTCTAAATGAGCTGAAGAAATTATGACAGATATACTTGAATTATATTTTTCAAGACTTTTCTCTAATATAAGCTGCTTTTTTGATTGCTTTGTTTTTTACGGCTTATCAACCTTTTTGAGGCCATTTAAAGCCGAAACATATTTTTTGTATTGTAAGAATTCTTTGGAGATAATAATCAGTTATTGATAGAATTCTTACTATTACTATAACCGCAATCTTAATTAATTGGAATCTACGATTGGTGAGAATGTTATTCCTGAATAATGAGAAACGAAAACGAGAAATGGCGCGGCAGTAAAGAACACTTAAAATGAAAAGATAATCTACGTACCATGTTCAACCAAAGATTAGAGGCAAGATTCTGGTTTTTTTCATCCTGTAAGGAAAAAGAAAATGCCATCATTATTATGAAGAAAGATTAAAAATCCCCCTCTCTCTCTCTTTCACTCTTTATCTTACACACACTCACACCTACATACATACATATACATATCCATATGATCTGTCAGAACAAAAGTTGGTCACGTGAATTTCAGGCAGTGTTTTGGTATTTTAACATGGTTGAATACGATATATATATATATTTCTATATATCGGAACGATGTTGGGTAATGTAATCTCAAGGTATTACTGTAATAATAATAATAATAATAATAATAATAGAAAAAAGATTTTAAAAACGAACAAAACATTTACAGAAAGGAACTAACTGATATGAACTGTCCACAGGATTCCAATGTTTCAAAAAAAAAAAAAAAGAATTTCAAAAACGGTCAAATTATAAGGACCTGCAATTCGAAGTGACAAACATGTGAAAACTTAAAACCGCGATTATCCCTGTCGGGATAAAGGGGTTGGATATGATAAAGAAAGATACCGTAAATCGTGTGAGTAAAATCCTTGGGTACATCAGAATCTCGGAGCTACAAAAGATTACTTTGTGCAGAACTGCACACATTATCAGCAAAACCCTCTCCATCTAAACGAAATGTCCCAAATGTATACTTAGCATAGATAACCCTCCTACAGTGACCTTTTTAAATCATAGAACCCGGAGGTGACTTGGTAATTAGTCACTTAAAATTAGTCTCTGGCAAGATGATACCACACAAAATAGTAATAATAAGATATAGGGATTAAAAAAATGAACTTGCTAACTAATTGATATGAATTGCCCACAAGAACCAATTTTTCTGAAAAGGAAATTCAGACTTCAAGAAATTGGTATGATCATCATCCAGACCTGGTTACAGAGACAGGATCTGTAACAATTTTATGGGACTTTACAATACACACAGACAGAACAATTCAAAGTTAATCGCCCTGGCATCGTGATTAGAGACCACAAAGTCAAAATGTGCTTCTTTATTGGCATGAACGTCCTTGCAGACTGCAATGTATATTTGAAGATCTTAAAAAAAAACAAACTATCAATTGGACCTTGTAATCGAAATCTCAGAAATGTGGCACATGAGGACATTAACAATTCCCGTTGTAGTTGGAGGCATCGGATTGATTGGAAAAGATTTCAATAGACTCATTGAAGGAATCTTTAGTAGTCCAAGAAAATACAAAAAAATGTACTCACAATTACAGCCCACACCTTACAATCGGCGTTAGCCATGTAGTATATGTACGATTTTTTTTCGAAACTTCTCACTGTGAAAATGTCATGATGCCATTTCTGACCTTAGGTCTCTGGTCGGGACCCGGAAAGAAATGAGTATATGGAAAAAACAAACGAAATAAAACAATAATAATATGGTACCTTGACTTTATTAATTTAAGCACAATACTAGATTGGTAACAAGGTGTCATCATTTTGCAGTTGAATTGGATAGATGTAACTGTAAGTTCTATGCTAGCAGTTTCTTTTCTCGCACTTCTCGCTTGTGGAATGATCACCCGGCTCCATACTGTTCAGCCAACTGTGATCTTTACAAATTTCAATGTAATGACAATCATTATCTACTTTTTTCTTGATTACTCTTCTTCTATTGTTCTCGTTCCTTAATAATGTTTTTCTTATTCTTTCACACTCATTAACCACTTGTATTATAGTAACTTTACTGCCTTGCATGAATTGAAATGATTAAAAGAAAAAATCATCATAAAAATACACACGATATTTTTTGTCTCGTTTGGAAATTAATTTTTAAATAACTGATGCATTCTCTAATTCTACATCAGGTACCTCCAATAATTCGGTATACGTAAAGTTTAAAATGATTTTTTTAAAATGAAAAAGCTTTCTTTAAGCTTTCATTTTTAGCTTTAATTGAAAGGTAAATGATTTAAAATTTACTATTTCTAGCAAGTAAAATACTCTGTAGTGTATTTTAAACAGAAATTATATTGATCGGGATCGATATTTTTTATCGGTAAAATGGATCAAAAAGGCCATTTTTAACAAATTTGTAAACAAATTTAATTCTCGTTTTTAAAAGTTTTGCAAAAATAAAATATATATTTCTGAAAGGTTATTTGAGGAAAATTAGCAAAGTTAAATTAATCTGATTTGAAACAAATATTACTATATAGCAGAAAATGCTGTATACAAACATTTCTTAAGTATGGGGTCCCATTTTTCTGACGTGTTAATCGATTTATAGACAGCCGAATGTGTTCAGAGTTAAGTATGGTGGAGCAGAAGATAAAGTTTCTCTCGCCATAAGGGAGGACAACCCTTAAAACACATGTCCTTTTAATACTAGATTTGTGGGTTTGCACATCCATACTTCAGAAATTCTGTATGTAATCCCACATACAAAAACAAATCGAAATTCTTTTAAAAATATTCGAAGTCGTCAGATTGTAATAAGCTTTACAATGTACGGTTAGTAAATATAGTTTTATTTAATAACGATATTTTCTAAGAAAATTAATTTAAAAAAATATAAACCTTTATAAATTATTCAATTTAAAATTGTAAAAAAATGAAAACAAATGTTATAAAAATTCATTTTTCCTCCAAAATCTTTTTTCTTCAGACAATAATGTCTTTAAGATATATCATTCATAAAAGCAATTTCTAATTAAATAATGTCTTAGTTTTACTGCGTTTTTTACTTTTCGATTCAGACCGGGCCCGATTTTGCAAAAAAAAAAAAAAAAAAAAAAAAAAATAGAACGGTGATTTAAATTCTTCAAAGAATTCTACTTTTAACTAAAAAAAAGTCACTAAAAAGTATCTCTTTAAATTTCTCAAGTTTTCATAAAAGTAAATAAGGCGTTGAATCACGTGTAAAAATATTTTATCAAGATTATCTAATAAAAAATTTCAAAAATAATTTCATTCATTTGTGAATAAGACTTAAAAACGTCATTAAAATCCAACAAATATTTGATTTTTGCAAGACAAAAGAGGCCAAAATTTGCTATGCTAAAAGTTAGTACAACCGCTAACACAAGAAAAACAAGTTTTTAATCAAAATTTCGAATGTTCCATAAAAAGTAAAAAAATGTAAATAAATAATCAAAAAAATACTTTGATCCTTCCTCTTAATAATCAAAAGGATTTTGACTATAAATCTATGTTCTTATGACGTTTGGAGCCTGTTTTCATCACGGTATGCTGATCTTTTAGTGTTTTCGTGAAGGTACCTATCTACATTGATATTATTTCGTTTCTGTTTCAGCTTCAAACAGATTCTTTTTTTTTTCTTTGATTTGTCTGTTTCCGCAGACGACACTATCAACCAAATTGAAATGGAAGTGTCAGCTTGTTAAAAGAAAACCGGAAATAGAATAATACATATTTCCGATTGACACATTTCCCACGTGATTTATTTTGCGTTAATGTCAGTGTTCATTAAACCAAATTTTTTCTTGTTGACGTGCTTCAGTGGGAACATTAGTATCAAGCTTATCTCTGACTCTCGGAATTACAAGTTGAAATCTAGATGGAAATTATGTTTTAACTGTCTACGTTTAGAGCGGTAGATTATACTGGCTTAATGATTCCTCGCAGACCCCATCACTGACGTAGTCTGAAAAATCTCAACACTTCTTCGAGTCAGTAAACTCCTTACGGCTGCATCACGTTGAAGCACCGGTAACCGTACGATCACCGAAGTTAAGCAATATCAAGTCTGATCCGTAGCTAAATGGGTGACCGTTTGGGAATACCAGGTGTTGTAAGCTTGGATGTGCGGTTGGTGCATTGGATAAGGGCTCGGAATTGTTAACTGGAGAGCCGGGTTTCAATTCCCATTATGTTCTTTATATTGATAAATATATTGTAAAATGGCCTTGGAAAATGTATGAATCTACCTCTTCACTCCCTAGCTATAGGTTAATTAGTAAAACTTGTATCACTAAACCGTTTTTATCTTAAACAAAATTCTTATAATGTAAAAATATTTTCTGGTTTTAAATAACGTTGAATTTTAAAAAAGGGTTGATAAGCCGTAGAAAGCGAAACAATCAATCAATATATAGATTAAGCAGAAGAAATTAAAAGAAGAAATTAGTAAGACTTGTAAACCATTATTATCACCAAAATATATTCTTACAATCTAAAAATATTTTCTGGCTTTAAATAACCTGCAAAGGGTTTAAGGGTTGATAAGCCGTAGAAAACGAATCAATCAATCAATCTACTGATTAAGCAGAAGAAATTAAAAGAAGAAATTAGTAAGACTTGTAAACCATTATTATCACCAAAATATATTCTTACAAACTAAAAATATTTTCTGGCTTTAAATAACCTGCAAAGGGTTGATAAGCCGTAGAAAACGAATCAGTCAATCAATCTACTGATTAAGCAGAAGAAATTAAAAGAAGAAATTAGTAAGATTATCACCAAAATATATTCTTACAAACTAAAATATTTTCTGGCTTTAAATTAGAGTCAATCAATCTACTGATTAAGCAGAAGAAATTAAAAAGAAGAAATTAAGTAAGACTTGAAACCATTATTATCACCAAAATATATTCTTACAAACTAAAAAGATTTTTTGGCTTTAAATAACCTGCAAAGGGGTTGATAAGCCGTAGAAAACGAATCAATCAATCAATCTACTGATTAAGCAGAAGAAATTAAAAGAAGAAATTAGTAAGACTTGCAAACCATTATTATCACCAAAATATATTCTTACAAACTAAAAATATTTTTTGGCTTTAAATAACCTGCAAAGGGTTGATAAGCCGTAGAAAACGAATCAGTCAATCAATCTACTGATTAAGCAGAAGAAATTAAAAGAAGAAATTAGTAAGACTTGTAAACCATTATTATCACCAAAATATATTCTTACAAACTAAAAATATTTTTTGGCTTTAAATAACCTGCAAAGGGTTGATAAGCCGTAGAAAACGAATCAATCAATCAATCTACTGATTAAGCAGAAGAAATTAAAAGAAGAAATTAGTAAGACTTGTAAACCATTATTATCACCAAAATATATTCTTAGAATCCAAAAAATATTGTCTGGCTTTAAATAACCTGCAAAGGGTTGATAAGAAGAAATAAAAGAAAACGAATCAATCAATCAAAAATATCTTTACTGATTAAAACAGAAAAATTCAAAATCTACTGAAAAAAATAAAAAGAAAGAAGACTTGTAAACCATTATTATCACCAAAATATATTCTTACAAACTAAAAATATTTTTTTGGCTTTAAATAACCTGCAAAGGGTTGATAAGCCGTAGAAAACGAATCAGTCAATCAATCTACTGATTAAGCAGAAGAAATTAAAAGAAGAAATTAGTAAGACTTGTAAACCATTATTATCACCAAAATATATTCTTACAAACTAAAAATATTTTTTGGCTTTAAATAACCTGCAAAGGGTTGATAAGCCGTAGAAAACGAATCAGTCAATCAATCTACTGATTAAGCAGAAGAAATTAAAAAGAAGAAATTAGTAAGACTTGTAAACCATTATTATCAAAATATATTCAAAATATATTTTTGGCTTTAAATAACAATCTAAAAATATTGTACTGATGGCTTTAAATAACAATGCAAAGGGTTGATAAGCCGTAGAAAACGAATCAATCAATCAATCTACTGATTAAGCAAAGAAATTAAAAGAAGAAATTAGTAAGACTTGTAAACCATTATTATCACCAAAATATATTCTTACAAACTAAAAAATATTTTTTGGCTTTAAATAACCTGCAAAGGGTTGATAAGCCGTGAAAACGAATCAGTCAATCAATCTACTGATTAAGCAGAAGAAATTAAAAGAAGAAATTAGTAAGACTTGTAAAACATTATTAACCAAAATATATTCTCACAAACAAAATATTTTTTGGCTTTAAATAACAAAAAAAATAATTTTTTGGAAGAAATTAAAAGAAGAAATTAGTTAAATTAATCACTGCACAAAAAAAATATTGTTTTTTAAATAACCTGCAAAGGGGTTGATAAGCCGTAGAAAACGAATCAAAATCAATCTACTGATTAAGCAGAAGAAATTAAAAAGAAGAAATTAGTAAGACTTGTAAACCATTATTATCACCAAAATATATTCTTACAAACTAAAAATATTTTTTGGCTTTAAATAACCTGCAAAGGGTTGATAAGCCGTAGAAAAAGAATCAGTCAATCAATCTACTGATTAAGCAGAAGAAATTAAAAGAAGAAATTAGTAAGACTTGTAAACCATTATTATCACCAAAATATATTCTTACAAACTAAAAATATTTTTGGCTTTAAATAACCTGCAAAAGGGTTGATAAGCCGTAGAAAACGAATCAGTCAATCAATCTACTGATTAATAAGAAGAAATTAAAAGAAGAAATTAGTAAGACTTGTAAACCATTATTATCACCAAATAAAAAACTAAAATATTTTTGGCTTTAAAAAAAGCCGTACAAACTCAAATCATTTTTTTGGCAGAAGAAATTTAAATAACCTTGTAAACCATTATTAAAAATATGATAAGCAAACTAAAAATATTTTTTGGCTTTAAATAACCTGTAGAAAACGAATCAGTCAATCAATCTACTGATTAAGCAGAAGAAATTAAAAGAAGAAATTAGTAAGACTTAAACCAAAATTATTCTCAAACTAAAAATATTTTTTGGCAAAATATATTCGAAAATCAAACTAAAAAAAAGATTTTTAAGACTTGTAAAGCATTTTAAAAAATAATTCCAAACTAAAAAGGGGTGATAAGCCGTAGAAAACGAATCAGTCAATCAATCTACTGATTAAGCAGAAGAAAAATAAAAAGAAGAAATTAGTAAGACTTGTAAACCATTATTATCACCAAAATATATTCTTACAAAAAAAATATTTTTTGGCTTTAAATAACCTGCAAAGGGTTGATAAGCCGTAGAAAACGAATCAGTTCAATCTAATTAAGCAGAAGAAATAAAAATATTTTCTGGCTTTAAATAACCTGCAAAAGGGTTGAAAAGCCGTAGAAAAAATCAGTCAATCAATCTACTGATTAAGCAGAAGAAATTAAAAGAAGAAATTAGTAAGACTTGTAAACCATTATTATCACCAAAATATATTCTTACAATCTAAAAATATTTTCTGAAGAATAACCTGCAAAGGGTTGATAAGCCGTAGAAAACGAATCAATCAATCAATCTACTGATTAAGCAGAAGAAATTAAAAGAAGAAATTAGTAAGACTTGTAAACCATTATTATCACCAAAATATATTCTTACAAACTAAAAATATTTTTGGCTTTAAAATAACCTGCAAAGGGTTGATAAGCCGTAAAAACGAATCAGTCAATCAATCTACTGATTAAGCAGAAGAAATTAAAAGAAGAAATTAGTAAGACTTGAAATAAACCATTATTATCACCAAAATATATTCTTACAAACTAAAAATATTTTTTTTGGCTTTAAATAACCTGCAAAGGGTTGATAAGCCGTAGAAAACGAATCAATCAATCAATCTACTGATTAAGCAGAAGAAATTAAAAGAAGAAATTAGTAAGACTTGTAAACCATTATTATCACCAAAATATATTCTTACAATCTAAAAATATTTTCTGGGTTGATAAGCTTTTAAATAACCTGCAAAAGGTTGATAAGCCGTAAAAAACGAATCAATTCAATCAAAAATCTTTACTGATTTGAAAGCAGAAAACGAAGAAAATTTAAGAAGAAATTAAAAGAAGAAATTAGTAAACTAAACCATTATTATCACCAAAATATATTCTTACAAACTAAAAATATTTTTTGGAGTTAAATAACCTGCAAAGGGTTGATAAGCCGTAGAAAACGAATCAGTCAATCAATCTACTGATTAAGCAGAAGAAATTAAAAAGAAGAAATTAGTAAGACTTGTAAACCATTATTATCACCAAAATATATTCTTACAAACTAAAAATATTTTTTTGGCTTTAAATAACCTGCAAAAGGGTTGATAAGCCGTAGAAAACGAATCAATCAATCAATCTACTGATTAAGCAGAAGAAATTAAAAGAAGAAATTAGTAAGACTTGTAAACCATTATTATCACCAAAATATATTCTTTTACAAACTAAAAATATTTTTTTAAGGAAGAAATTAAAGAAGAAATTAAATGAACTTTAAATAACCTTCTTAAAAGGGTTGAAGCCGTAGAAACGAATCAGAATCTAAGGAATCAAAAATCTACTGATTTTTTGGCTTTAAATAACCTGCAAAGAATCAATTAAAAGAAGCAAATTAAAAGAAGTAAAGACTTGTAAACCATTATTATCACCAAAATATATTCTTACAAACTAAAAATATTTTTTGGCTTTAAATAACCTGCAAAGGGTTGATAAGCCGTAAAAACGAATCAGTCAATCAATCTACTGATTAAGCAGAAGAAATTAAAAAGAAGAAATTAGTAAGACTTGTAAACCATTATTATCACCAAAATATATTCTTACAAACTAAAAATATTTTTGGCTTTAAATAACCTGCAAAGGGTTGATAAGCCGTAGAAAACGAATCAATCAATCAATCTACTGATTAAGCAGAAGAAATTAAAAGAAGAAATTAGTAAGACTTGTAAACCATTATTATCACCAAAATATATTCTTACAAACTAAAAATATTTTTTGGCTTTAAATAACCTGCAAAGGGTTGATAAGCCGTAGAAAACGAATCAATCAATCAATCTACTGATTAAGCAGAAGAAATTAAAAGAAGAAATTAGTAAGACTTGTAAACCATTATTATCACCAAAATATATTCTTAC